GGCGGTAAGGCTGTCAGCCTTACGCGCTGGCCGCGCTTTACTCCCCAGAAAATTATTTATTTAATTCCTGGTACTCATTTCTGTTAGAGGCTGAGTAAACCCCATATACCTGCTGCGCTACCCCTGCTTCTATATATAACACGTAACTTGCTGGATTTAACGTTCTTGAAGTTTGCTACTTCTGGAATGTAACGGCGTGTAGTCTAGCAGAAGTTCATGGACGTTTCGCAAGAACGTAAAGCCTCCAGCTTCGGGGTCGAAGAGCAAGCGACTGACAAGAAGCAAACAGAGTCTGTATTTGGTGCTTGCTTCTTACTCTTCGACCCTGAAGATAGAATCATTACGTTCCTCCGAAATGTCAGTTAACATCTACCAGACTATACGGCGTAACATCCCAAAAGTAGCACTCTTGCAAAGAAGCGAGCGCGGTCGCGAAACGCGGGGAAGCGTGTACCTGGTCGCGGTACACAATTACATCACGTGTTTGCAAAACAACGTGTCTTCCCACTGCACTGCAAGTGCTCCACCCATGACATCATCAGCAGCCAATCACAGAGCGCGCTTATCCGTACTCATTGGTTGAGATTGCCACCGGCCGCGGCGGTGAGGGTTGGAGAGGCAGAGAGGGGCAGTCATGTTTGTAGTAAAGCTACTATAGATCCGGTGGCGATGCGACTCGGTTTCGCGAACTGGACACTCGTATTCGGGACCGTTTCGCGCTCATACTCCATACTGTATGACTGAGGGTGTTTGAGGACAGGGTGCTGGGCAGAATGTTTTTACCCAAGGGGGATGAAGTAACAGGAGGTTGGCGAAAACTGCATGATGAGATAGCTCCATAACCTGTACTCCTTTCCGAGTACAGCATCAAGGGAAATGAGATGGGCAGGGAATTTAGCATACATGGAAGATAATATATCAGAAGTTTGGCAGAAGCTTTGTGGGAAAGAGATCTCTAAGTATACTTAGGCGTAGATGAGAGGATAATATTAAAATGGGCTTCTATAGAAACAAGAGTGGGAAAGTGTAGACTGGACTCATCGGGCTCAGAATAAGGACCAGTGGCAGGCTCTTACACGGTCGTGAACCTTCGTGTTCCATAAAATGCTGGGAATCTCTTTAGTAGCTAACCAACTGTTAGCTTCTCAAGGAATTCATGAAGTAAGTTGACAAGTTGAAGGATATCATCATGGTGAATACTGAAGGTTATGACGTTATCAGAACACTTTCCCCACATGTCTGGACAGACTTGAGTAAAACCAAGGAAGGGCTCAGAATAGCCATAAATGAATGAAATACAACTCGGTGATGAATCATCGCGTTTCATTAAAGGCGGGAAACTGTCTGAGTAGCTGAGCAACTATTGGATTTTCAAGAGTGACTCTGTTTCGTGGAATTAGGTGGGTCTGTTCCAATGTACGTGCTTGAATTTCTTTGTTAGTTGCAGTAGCGGGTTCTGCTGTTTGACATTCTTCTGTTTATCTAGGGCTGTAAAAGTAACAAAGGCAAAGCTATCCCTGTAACATAGGGTTGTGAGACGTCGAGGCTCCCACATTTTCTAGATAATCGGCTCGCAGATGACGGTGAGGTTGTCATCCTTACGCGCCGGTCACCCTTTACCTCGAGGAAAATACCTGGTTCTCATTCCTGTTAGAGGCTGAGTCGACCCCAGGGCCATAGTGCGGCTTGAAGGAGTAGGTGAATTGAAAAATCCAATTACCTCATCCAGAATCGAACCCGCGACCTTACGGCTTGTAGCATAGTGCCCCAACCGCTGCTATTCTTCCTTTTCATCTGTCTGTCTGCTTTAGTCGTAGCGTCCATCAGCGAGACCGTGATACGAACGCGTCCCTCGAGGGCTCTGATAGAGTGGACGAACGGAGATTTTGTCCAGGGAGACCGTGATACGAACGCGTCCCTTGAGGGCTCTAATAGAGTGAACGAACGGAGATTTTGTCCAGTGAGACCGTGATACGAACGCGTCCCTCGAGGGCTCTGATGGAGTGGACGAACGGAGATTTTGTCCAAGGATGGGAAATGCCAGATTTTCTCGTTGCATCTCACTTGTCATTGCTTGATGGGCTGGTCTCCTCATTGCCGGCCGAACCGCCGTCTCGGCCGCTTTGCTGTTCACGTGTGTAGGAATGGGGCGGTAGTCAACTTCGGAATGTTTTACAAACAACTTTTTTTTCGGTCCAGTTTCCTCATATTATGAAGCCGTATACGTCATCAAGAGGGCGAGGCTGCAGCTCCATTAATGGAGTCGCTATGCTACACAGGCTGTCCTCAGAACTGTGGGCAAAGAAGTACATGTTCTTCGTCCGGGATATGTTAAATTCCCGAGTGGCCAAAACGGCGTACTTTGGCCACGACGACTATACTCATCACTGGCACAAACGGGGCACTTCGGACGTTAAAGGTTAATGTGGTAATGCAGTAGGTGAAACTTACGAAGGGAATGACTCTAAAATAAGAGACTGAAGTACCGGCACACTGTGTTAACAGCCGTGGCCGCCGTACATATTGGCAAGAGGATGGGAGTTCTCTATTAACATTTATTTCTTTTAGGCGGTCGCTCGGTCGGTATAGCTAGTTTACAGACTACAGGTCATGGAGTTTAAGCCCTACCTTTTTCTCTTCCCGTTTCTTGTCTTTTATGCCATGTTTCTTATTTCATTATCTTTATTTTCCTTTTTGTAATTCTCTTTCTCTTTGTTTTAGTTATTTTTTCTTACTATAATGCCTTCGCCGCTCTCTGCCGTTCTCTCTTCCCTCTTTCATTGTTACCTCATTTACTTGTGTTACTTTAGATCTGTATTATTTTATTATTTCCTTTCCAGCCCTTTTTTTCTTGCTATTTGTTTCATTTCTAATTCTGTTGTATACATCAGTCACTTCTTCCTTTCTTCACTTTGTTTCCTTTCGTCATTCCTTGTTTTTTTTATGTTTCCTGTGTAGATATTTTACTTTGGCCCACTGCGGCCGGTAGCAGCTGAAGAAGACCGTGTCCTCGGGTCTGTACAAAGCATGAGACCGATGTCACCCTGTAGGCGAGGTTGTCAGTCCTACATCTATCCAGCACGCCGTCGTTTTGTCTGATTTATTCGTTCATTACTGTGCAATAAATTAGACAGCTACGGTGACCCACCTCTTAAACTGGAAGCAGCACGTGGGATGTGACGTGATTCCTAAATGAGTCGTCCTGTGGCTTCTCAGTAGCACATCACAGCGTGAACACTGCGCTGTGCGCTACACGCTTCTAGGAAACAGTCCCATTAAGTAGTAGTCTAGGTCACACTGAAGACTTGCATTCGGGAGATACTCAGTTCGAATGCCGACCGTGACACCGACTATGCTGACAGGTTTTCTTCAGTCCCTCCAGACCAATTATGGGATAGTATCTCAGGCCAAGATCGCTTCTTCTCACACCATTTCCTGTTCGTTATTCTTCTGTGATCCCAGCATTTGACGCGATATAGCCTGCAGTACTGCCAGCGTCGTTAATTAAGCCACCAATAGGCGGATGTGGCCACTGGTGCTGAACAGGAAGCTTCCTGCCCCTGGCGGAATCAGAACCACGATCAGTGAAGCTGAGATTCTCTCAGCGGTGAACATGAGGAGCGCCGTATTCTGGGATATGGCGCAACATAGCCCTTTAGAAGTGCTGCCTCCATCTTCAGGGTGTAGGAATAAGCCAAGCATCCACCGAAATATCATCATTGTCAAAACACCCCTTTTTGAGCCATAGCCTTCCGTAGAAGATTCTGCCAGGGTGCATCCTGCGTTCACGTCTGTGGATTTCGCAACAAATTTGTAGCAGAGCAAGGTCGTACTAACCCCCAACCTGAAGGACCAGGTCTCCATATTTATGTCCGCCAGTGACAGGGTGACCCAGTTACACCCTCTCGCACCCGGTTCCCTTTTCGTCGCCTTGTGCGAGTCGCAGGGCTGCGGTGGAGATATTGCAACCAGCCTCCACACGGGGAACAGAATCTGTATAAGAACTGATAAGAGAGAATGTGTTGTGTGCCTGCCAGGAAAGGAAATGCAGAGATTTATGGCGTCTCATACTTCATAAGTTGTGTAATGCAGAGCGGCCAGGCTGACTTGTGGGCAGGTGGTTGCAACTACTGTAGTTGTCGGCGTGCTCTGTGGGACATGCGCGCGAGAGAGCTGTGTCATTCATCGAACTGTTCAGAAGGAGAGAGGCTTAAAAACGTCGTTCAAAATGAAGACTACTGTCGTTTAGGATATGACGCCGTGTATTTTTCTTTTTGTATAGTTTATATGTAACAATACTGTCAGTAACTCAGACTGTCCTGTAGCGGCGAATTATTGCATGGCATGTGAATAATGAATTGCACAGGAAGATTCCTGGTACACATTTCTGTTAGAAGCTGAGTCGACCCCATGGCCATAGTGCAGCTGAAACTCGAACTCACGACCTTCCGGTTTGTAGCATGAATGAATGAATGTAAAAGGGGTGGCCCTTCTTGGTCCTTGCACCACGACCACAGTGCTCTATTACGGTTTGTAGCATAGTGCAGCAACCAACTACGCTACCGCGTGCCCCATAACTTTATCATACAAGTTTTTCTATTTGCCCAGGTGCAGTAAATAAATGTACAATAAAGCAAGCCTCAGTTGGCGAACTCTGGTTTGAACAGCCTCGACCAGGGTTCAGAGACAGACCTGGAAAGGACACCAGAGAGAAAGGGTACTTAGTGTTAGCCAAGAAAAGGCACGGTAGAGACATTGAGAAATGGAGGACAACGTGGAAAAGTACGTGTAGCACGAGTGACGAATAAGAGAAGGGGTATAAGTTGGCCCAGAACCTGCCTCTGTTGGTTGTCTCTGCAGACCGTACGATCCTCCGAAACGTCGGTGAATTTATACGTGACTATACGGCGTCACATCTGTGAGAACCTCAATTCCAGAGGTGTAAAGCTGTTCTTGTAGGCAGAATGCCTAAGACGCTTGTGTTCACTGTGTCCCTGCAGGCAGTCGCGAGGCGGCCTTCACGTACGCCGTCTCCAGTGCGGGCGTCGCGTACGCCGTGACGGCAGCGTGCAGCCGGGGGAACATATCTGACTGCGGCTGCGACCCGAGTCACAAGGCGCGCAAGGAGCTGGCCCCCTCCGGCTGGAAGTGGGGAGGCTGCAGTGCGGATGTCGGCTACGGCATGAAGTTCGCCCGACGCTTCCTGGACGCCCGTGAGATCGAGGGCGACGCTCGTAGCCTCATGAACCTGCACAATAACAAAGCGGGCCGCAAGGTATGAACAAAATCTTCTTATAACGGAATTAGTTTAATAGTCCTAGCCTATTTTCTTTCTTATGAGGTCACATTGCTGTCTGTTCGTCTTTGTCTCTCCAACTGTCTGTGTACCCCTCAAATTTTCTGGTCTTGTGAGGCTTATACGATCACTATGCTGTCTGTGTATCCCCTAATCTCTTCGTCTTCTGTGCAATCCGTTTTTTATCAGAAGAAAGCAGGCGGTTTGTTCTTCCCAGAACCTCTTGTTCTTTTTAATTCGTGGGGGTAGAGTGAGACAGAGTCCACTTGGTACGCTGGCCAGTATTTGGGCCATTGTATCAGCCCCAGATGATAGATGAGTGTGGATCATTCGCTGAGATGAGAACCGGCAGGGGAAACCGAAGTACTAAGAGAAAACCTGCCACAGTGTCACTTTGTCTACTACGAATCCTAAGTGACCTGACTTGGAATCGAACCCGGGCCAACACAATGGGAAGCCGGCGACTAACCGCCTAAGCTATGGAACGGTTTTTTCCTGACAGATGTTTAGACAGATATACGCAAATTGCTCTCGAGAGTCAAGCAGAAACACATGAAAGTCCTCCATATGAAGTGTCCTCTATTGTGGTCCAATTGTAACCACAATTTTCATGTATCAATACATTTGAGTGAAACATACCAATATTATTTTTTTAATCTGTTGGTACGACAGACGGTCCTGAGGAAGCCTACCTGCAAACTTTTCTATAACGTTTGGTTGCCAGCGCTCCGCAATGCCCGGCCATGCGAGTCACGCTACAGCAGCGCTACTTACTTACCTACACACACACTTAATTTTTCAGGTTCAATCCCAGGCTAGTTAAGTGGGATTTGTGATCGACAGACTAACACTACAGCACGTTTTCTTCGAGTGCTTAGTTTTCCCCTACCAATTTTTTATTCCATCAGAAGACAAATAACGTAACGTCCCTGTACTTAATTAATTAAGCACCACGCCATGAAGACGCATTGAGGAGCGGCGATGTAGCTCCTCCATTCTTGACCTCGGCACTGGATGGAGGTGAGTGGTCACCTTCACGTCCTGGACATTTTCCCACCGGTGAAAGAGCTCCCGGTACCCATTGGACCGGAAGTTGAGTGGCCCTAAGAGCCGGTCTGGACACTGTGGAGAAGGGGAGAATGTCCGTGTCGAGAATCGAACCCTAGCCGTCCTGCCCGTAGCTCCTCGCTAATCCTACTGAGCTATCCCGACTGCTCTTATTCCAGCCATTATACCATTTCTCTCATCTAACATCGAGGATAAAATGGGCCATTTAAAGGTGGAAGTATCAAGGACCGCAGGGTCTCCCCACCCTAAGAATACAGTGTTCACCTGCAATGCTCACCTTCTCTTTGCTGTGTGATTCTATATGAACCTTGTCTTTCTTTACGGCAGTTGTCTGGTCTTTGTCCTTCTGTCTCTATCTCTTCAGTTCCAACTGTCGTAAATCATTCTCAACATCTTCCATCCGTCGCAGTCCTCCCACTTCTCGTCTGCCCTCTGGTTTACTTTCAATAAATTCCCTAGACACCCTTGTTTCGTCCCTTCTAATCATATACTCCAGTCACTCCACCCTTATCCATTTAATATCCGCTGTCAGGACATGGGTTTCTTGTAATTCCTGCAGTTCTCGGTCCGTTCACATTCCCCAGACCTCATGTTCAGGTACTGGTTCAGACACCTTCCTCAGAATTTTAATCCTTCAGGTTCTCAGGATAAGGAGCCAGGATAGCTCAGTCGGTGTAGCGACGGGCTGCGATGTGGACTGCAACTGTTGATTACTGGCGTCCAGGTCGCCTCTGAGTCACACCCAGCCTGCTATGCAGTGTGGATCGGGGGTAAAGCGACGGAAACGTGAAGCTGACCACTCACTTCCATCTAGTGCCGAGGTCAAGAATGACGAAGCTATACCTCCACTCCCCTATACATCTCAATGGCGTCTGTTTAATGAATTAAGCGCAAGATTTTGCATAAACTGAGCCCTGACATAGGCCGTTTCCATTTGGTCCGTTCAGAGGAGTAGTTGAAGAACCTCGGTTCAGATTTAACGAGGTGGCGGTTAAGTAATCCATCTCAGAAGCCTGAGATCGACACAGGACTTATCATTAAGGAATGTCGTCCCTCTCAGCGCTAAATCTTCCTGTCCAATCTCGAACCCGATGTACGTAATGCATCTGCTGTTGCCAGTTGATGGATTTATTCGGCAGTCAGTCATGCTGAAGCGAGCTAATTGGCAACGAGAGGACACGGCAAGAATAGATATCAGGCCTTCCATAAACACGTCGGTCGGTACTTGAGCAATGGCTGCAGCTGAACAATGGACAAATAAAGGACATTTGAAGGAAGTCCTTCAAGATCCTGCTACAGGACCTGAGATTCCTCTGCCTCTGCCCGTGAAGCTGGAATGTTTACTGTCTGCGTTGCTGGCATGACCCCTAAGTAGGATCTAAGCTTCTCACGGCAGTGGTTCTAGGTCATGCCGCCGTGTAGTCTGGTGTACTGTATGTACCAGGGTCTGCCTCTATCTCTCTTCTCCTAATGAATTGGAAAGGATGTAGGAGGAAGTGGTCGTAACATAACTTAATGTACAGGCCCTGTTTGTAGAAATGACTTCTGACGTAGCAAGAAGTAGCTGGGCAGTGGCTGCACTGCACTCTCGGAAGGAGGCAGGGTGACGCACTTTAATTTGTGTGACTGATCTATGCGCACTCTACAGTCTTTATATGAGACAGTGGACTGGACCAAATGCACAGCCGGTCCTAAAAGCAGAGGGGGCATTATACAGGTATTTACCTAAAGTGACTGAGGGAAGCTACGGAAGCCATCAGTCAGAATAGTCAGTGTCCTAACCGAGATTTGAGCTGGCGACCTCCCTACTACAAGCCAGAATCGCTACCGCCCGGACGAACATGTTCAGTTCTATTCTTCTTAGGCTCCTGAAAGTGAACGGATAATGTTCAGCTTCAGTGAGGATCCGAACACTTCAGGCGTGACGGAACATTTCGAAAACTCCACTTTCACTGAACCCCGTAAAGAAACTTGAACATAACGGCTCAGAGCGATGGTTTTGATGTCTCGCATTAGTTATGTTGTATAAATAGTTTTTTAGAGCTGGGATGATGCAGTCGGTACAACGACTGGCTACGAGCTGGACAGCTGAGGGGTCGGAATTCGAATCCTGGTAGGGGCACGATTTGTCTCTCCTCCATATCGTCTAGAACAGTTCTGAGACCCACCCAGTGGATACCCATAGTTGGACGGCCGGGTCATGAAGCTTACCACGCATCTCCAACCAGTGCCGATGTCAAGAATACGTGGATTTATATATCCACTCCCCCATACGTCTTCATGACCTAGTGTTTAATTATCTAAGCACAGGGACAAGTATACCATTACCTCTTACAAATAGTTTTTGGTTCGTTCGTAACGAAAATGTGCAAATATATGCCTGTTAGCTTCCCAGGTCTGTCCATTTGGAACAGCTTGAGAATCGGTGAATGGATTTGTATGAAATTTAATCTTTGTGGGTTTTTTTTTACATTTGTCAGGCCATTTCAGCTTTGATTCGAACTCGGGAAATATTAACTAACACATTTTATAAGGATCTAGAAGCGTTTTTGCGCGCATCTCAAGCGCAACACTTGCATACGTCTCTTAAATATTCACTGAAGCGAGAAGTGTTTCGAGCAGAACTTGTAGAGAAAGCTGAAGTGAAAATTTTATGTCCAATATGCTTCTCCATAAGTGTAGTTGGTTTGGAGGCAATTAAGGAAAAAGGAAACGGGATCTTTAGGCTATGAATGCATTTCCTAACTTGTTTGCAGCGAAATAATGACGAATGGTTGGTCCGCACCTGTGATTCAAGGTTGAACTCCCCTTAAGGGGATTCGTTACAAAACCGCAGGCGCGTCTGCGGGAAAACCGCAGCGCCGCTTATTATCATGCATGATTTTTCCCGATCTGTTTACAAAGAAATTTTATCCACCAAGGTCCTTTGTTACTCAGAATAATGTCCACTATATATCTAAATTTGCGAATTATTGTTTTGTCACCAAACTGCCTGCCACATACACACAGACACACAGAGAGACAGAGCATGTGTCACTATACGTCCCGGGTCTGTCGTAGAATTCAGATTAATGCAATCTTCTCAGGGAGCCGTCTACAATGGCGAAAATTAAGCTCAGTGCGGCCCTATTTGAAGCTTTGAAACCGAGTGATGTTAAATACTCCGCGTGTTATAAAACGTGCTCAGAAGAGAGTGCACTGGACTTAAAACCACCTGAATCAAATCATATTCCCTTAATATATATTTTAATATTATCCTTCAGAATTTCACATGTCGAATTAGAGTCAGAGTCACTTCGCGACTGGCGACTTCCCGCCAATCAGTTCGTCTTGGCACTAAGCCCCTTGAGAATCANTAGGGGAACAAACTACATTTGGAGGGGGTGGAAAAATTCCCAGCTTTGAAGGTTCCCTCTTGTCCTTCTCGTGAGGACTGAAATTCGTATAAATAGTATCAGTTTCAGTTCCTACCTCACAGGAAACACTGCATTTCCAATAAAATATCAGTCGGTTAATTCTGTTGACGGAAATAACAGCTGTTTGTTCTAAGAACCGCACGAAACCCTGTAATACACTCTGTGGGCAAAATGCTGAGTTTATTTTAATATTATCGCAATTTGTACGTAATCACCAGGGCCCGGATTTTGATGACCTGAAAATATTAAAAAATGACCTGTAAAATGACCGAAAAAATCCAGAAAAATTACCTAAAGGAGAAAAGAAAGAACACTTCGCTTCCATGTTATTCACATTTCAGAAAACATGTGAAGAGAAATTCCCTAAAATGGCCAAAAATGACAAGAAATACCCTTAAAAGTCCAAAACTTTACCAAAAAATTACCTTAACCCTAAAAATGTCAAAAAATGACCAAAAATTACCTCTAAAATTTACGTTTCTGAACCAACAGCTCATATCCGAGATTTATATATTTAAGAGCATCGCATAGGATACAAGGAAAAAAAGATGACATGTCATAAAAATCCGGGCCCTGGTAATCACCATGTACCAAGGGTTAATGAAAATTGCTTTTGGTTTTCTGAATTGGATTGAAGTGGCTGAAGAACAGTGCTGGTAATGTTGAACCTCCAGAGTTGTGTACACGTGAGTCATTTTAAGGAATAGTGAAGAAAATGTTCAGATTCTTAACGCTTTCCAAGTCACCTACACATGCTATTGAGTCAACCCAGTGACCCCTAGTGCACTTGTGGGGGGGGGGGAACAAAACAAGATCAAGTAGCGATTAATCACATGAAAAGTTCTTGGTATCAGCGAATCACGTCTGTCAAGTATGAGTGGTCTCCTTAACCCCCCCGCCCCTTTCTGTCGCTTTCTGTGTTAGTTATTGGCACGTTCCGTTTCCACGCATCGAACTGCAGTCTTGAATAGAAAGTATGCAATATACTTCGCCGTACCATAACTGAGGAGGTTAGTCGCCGGCTTCCCACTGCGACGGCCCGTATTCGATCCCAGGTCAGGGCATGTGGGATCTGTGGTGAGAAAAAATGGCGCTGGGGTAGGTTTTGCTCCGAGTACTTCGGTTTCCCCTGCCATTTCTCATTACACCGACTGCTCTGCACTCATCATCATCTATCACTCAATCTCACCGCATCCAAAGAAACTAAACTGAACTAAGTAATATACATTTATCCTGTCTCTGTACGCTTGTTCTGATCCTGCAAAGTCTCCTGAACTTCAGCCCACGACCACTGAAGTCCTGCACGATGCACATTCAGTTCTGTGAAGGAAGTATCCTGTCTCTGTACGCTTGTTCTGATCCTGCAAAGTCTCCTGAACTTCAGCCCACGACCACTGAAGTCCTGCACGATGCACATTCAGTTCTGTGAAGGAAGTATCCTGTCTCTGTACGCTTGTTCTGATCCTGTGAAGTCTCCTGAACTTCAGCCCACGACCACTGAAGTCCTGCAAGATGCACATTCAGTTCTGTGAAGGAAGTATCCTATCTGGTAGCAGATATTAAAACGAGAAGGCCTCGTAGCGGAGCTAGCCTCCCGGTTTGTTTTACTCTTTGTACACCTTGTTGCCAGCCACTCCGTATTGTCGAGCCATTTGTCTGAGGCGGTTAATTGCAGTTTCGTGTTTATGTCTGAATATATACTTTGCGTCGATTAGAAACGATTTATTGTATACAGCCCGGAGACTCGATCCACATCCTGCACAATTGAAACCTCCCGAGGTATCATGCAAAGACCTCTGGGCTACAATGCACCCTTAGCACCAGGTTCGTTACCTGACCGGGCCACTGTGAACAGTATCAGACTGTTCGATCTCAACTCGCTTCGTAGACATAATCGCGTACATGCTAAGTCACATCGACAGAGCCTTCATAGAAGGATTGATTGATGGATCAGACATTTCAGGTGTGTATACAGGATGAGCTGCATGTTGCGAGCCTTTAGCAATACGTCGTGTTAAGGAACTGTGACCATGGACATGAATTTCCTACTTTGTCAGTGCCTAGAAGCTTGGCTAGGCAAGGATAGAGATCGGATATGCGTGTTTAGAGCCGACGTCAGAAGAGACTCGGCAACGGTTCTGGCTGTAGCGTTTGGAGCGCCCTAACAACATCGGGTGCGCACAGCGGGCCCAGCAACGATCTGAGTCCCCCCCCCCCAACAGGAAACAGAAGTGAACACTTTGTTCTCAAGAAATTGCCAAGTCTGCATTTCGATCATGATAATAATGTTGATGTAAGTTGATTTTTATGTAGAAAATTCTGAAACAGTTTACTAAAATGCCAAGCGTTTCTTCAATAATTTTACCAGCTTGTGATAATTAACATTTAAAATTCGTTCTAGATTTGGGCTTCTCACAGCAATTACTGTGAACCATATTATCTCCTGTCATGTTAATGTGTATAGCCCGATAGACCCCGAAAATGGCGGCAGTAGTTTCCACCGAAACGTCGCTTAACTGCCACCACTCAACGTTGCGTCACATACAGACTGATACCATTTTATCTGCATGTTCAGGCCTTTGAATCATTGAATTCCTGCTTCACAGAGAACAAAGACGAACCAGTTGATACGGTGTAAAGGAATAATCGGCGTTTATTCAAATAACATCATTAGTATCTTGTGACTGGCAAGAAAGCGGGAGAAGCTAGACAACTTCTGCTCTCTCTCGTTGTTTATCGTGAGAATCATGTGAAACCCATAAACACGCCATGCGGGGTCAAGTGATAATGCAACTGCTGCGTGTGGTTTGCTGCTTCGCTTTACACATTTATGAAGACATGCAACATTCGAGAGATCTGGAGCACTCGGAACTGAACTGCGCCATTTCCATGCCTATAGGTCACGTGCAACTCTGTTCGTGACGACCCGGTGCTCCTCTGTCGGCACCAACATCTGTCATTCTACAAGGAACAGGTTCATATCTTCTCAGATTTCATTTCTAGATTTCATGCTCTGCTTCATACGTTTTCTGTGGACCACGCCCATGTCGGAAGGAATGGGGGCCCTGGAGGGTGAAGATTCGCCTACTGTCTCCTTCTAATTATCTCCGTGGAACTGACTCATCATTCTTGGGGAGACGTCAGTCGCTCAGATACTCAGGCAGTTCCCTATCGTCTATGGAAACGGGTTGCCCATTGCTGTGCTCACAATACCCCGCAGATCTGTCTGTCAGTGGTTCCTTTCTGTCCAGATTCTGTGCTCTGAATACAGAGGCACAAGATTACCCCGAAACGTTGATACTTTTCTGCCTGTTACATTCCTCACATTCCAGAAAACTGTAATCATAATCTTCATGCTCACTACATTTCAGGCTTACATTAAATTTCATTGCGCGAGTTGGCCTAGCGATAACGGACACTGGATGTTCCTAACTGACATGTTTCATGATTTTCCTCAGTGCGTCCAGGCTGAGATAGTACCTCCATTAGGCAACGACTGTTCCCTCCAAATGCTTTTCAGTCCATCGTTCAATAGTCATCTTACCATTCGACGCTATATGCAGACTAGACATGATAGCGTCGTTAAGTAGCCCAACAATAAACTTCGTTACTGTTTGAAGTCACACGATTATACGTGAAACGTGTTCATATCTTGCATTAAACTTTGCAGGCCGTCAAAGTGAACCTACACGTGGAGTGCAAGTGTCACGGTGTGTCCGGCAGCTGCACGATGAAGACTTGCTGGAAGACACTGCCCGCTTTTCGTCAAATCGGCGACAATCTTATGCGGAAGTACAGCCGTGCGCGCGCAGTCATGGCTGTAGAGATTGTGTCCCGCCCGGGACGGCGTAGTAAGAATCTCCAGTTGGTCCTGAGGAGGACACCGTCCCGAGGGCAACAGCTGCTCGAGAAAAAGAGGGTCCCGCGACGCTCCGATCTTGTGTTTCTCCAGGAGTCGCCCAACTACTGCGAGAGGGATCCCGCCACTGGCTCCCTGGGCACAGTTGGCCGTCACTGCAACCGTACTTCGAGAGGTGAGATCAGTGGCGTGCAGCCACAAGTTCGCTGAACACATTTCGCTTTAAGTGTTTCTTTGTTAGAATTTTAAGCTTTAGATTATGCGTAACTTAACGTATTCAGCCTATTATTGGATATAGAGAGTGTCCCAGGAGGAGAGGTCATTGTATCGGTCATTCTAAGCAAAAATGTGTGTATGTACATGTGTCCTATTCCGAACGGTTTCCGAGATACAGCTATTTCACTCTACACCGTACAGACGTACAGCGCGCAATGTCGTCACATGAGTTGCAAAGTGCATTGATGTTGACGGCGGAATTTTCGAAAATGTAAACTGTACCAACTTTGTCACTTGAACAGTACGTAATATCCCTTACTTAGCAACAGTTTGGGAACTGTACAGTGAACTGGCTCTATCCCGGAAGCCGTTCGGAATTGGGCACATGTACATAATACACACTATTTTTCATAGCATGAGCAATACTATGACCTCCCAGAATATTGAACTTTCCTCCTGGGGCACCCTGTGTATTCTGTATGAATCAGTTTACTTTAGGAGTTGTAAGAATGAACCTGTACTGTTCCAAGTTTACTTCATGATTCGGCCTATAATAGACCGACTGCTTTCTGTTTTTAAATATGATAGAACATTTATTTAGGCGTAAGTATGTTAGATGCATGATTGGTAGGAGCTGTAAATGTCAAGTTTCCTTGAAATTCGTTTGTTCCTACTCTTGGTGTTGTCACAGGTACCGACGGCTGTGACCTCATGTGCTGTGGCCGGGGATACAACACGCACCAGTTCACCAGAACTTGGCAGTGCCATTGTAAGTTCCATTGGTGCTGTTACGTGAAGTGCGACACGTGTAGTGAACGGACGGAAGAGTACACGTGTAAGTAGTCACCGCACGTGTTGCCTGTGGTTGTGTCACGGTTAGTTCCGGATATGTGTAGCGACAGAACACGTGCACATAATCGCCCGATTGTGCCACTTCACACATTTCTAGTTTCCTGGATGAATTGTTTTTGGACAGGCGTAGAAAGTGAGTGTTTAGACTTCCTCACTTCAACAAGTAGACGCGTGTGCCATGCGGTACGCAAATATCCACCTGTTTTGGACACGATATGTGTTTCCAGGTGACTATGACGTGGCACGTGGTTTCCGCGATGTTGGAACTGAACTCACAGAGCAAAGTAACGTTTGTAGTTAGTCAGTCGGTTGTGCCAGGACACGCAGAGGTAGTCACCTGATCTGGACGCCTTATTGTGTCACAACACGCTGAGATGATCACCTCATTGTGCAATTAGTCACCTGACTTCCTTACGACACATGACGTACTCAACTGTGTGTGTCTGTATGCAACACCTGCGTGTGTCACGGCATACGAAATTAGTCATTTGGTTAGTCATTAGTTATTGGTGTTTGTGCCGTTCTCATCAGAAACACATGCAAGAAGTCACGTGAAGAACTGTTAGCTGTGACACAGCTGTCCTCGTCGAATAAATGTCTGAGGATACGTTTACGTCGCCTACTCACCAGCGAAGGCATGCGCAGTGGCTTTTATTGTTGCATTGCAGCAGAATATGGGCATTGTACTCGGGTGAAGGAAATACTGAACACGGGTGATGGGAGTTCAGACGTGCAGCCTACACTGTACACCTCCCCTCCTTCAACACCAATAGGAAGAGAGAGAGCCTGCAGACCGAGCAGATTTCGCAATACAAGCGACAGTTGGTGGGAGTAGATGGAAAAGGGAGGGGGAGTATGTGCTCATTCTTTCCCTGACCCGACTGCACTCGATACAGCAGACCGCTGGAATGGTGGATGTGACAAAAAGTCACACATTTTTGACACGACGATGATAAAAGAAAGGATGCTCGATGGAGAAATCGCTTTTTGTGAATGCGGCACATAATGACCAGATGTGGAGATGGACAATTTTGGTTGTGTGCCAAGTATACTGGTCTCGTGTAATCCACGTAGACTGTTTGGTATTTTGTATTCTTTCACTGCGGAGACAAATGACTACCTGAATTAAGTATGTGTGAAAGTGTTCGTTGTAGGGTTTTCATGTTTCAGTGAATTTATTTTTTTTCTATTACATGAGCGTGCATTATAAAATTCAAACGTAAATACATACATGGGATTTAAGAGGATTTAATGGCGGCAGGAACCTGTCAATTTGAGCATTTCGAAACGAAACTAAGGAATGTTACATTAATCTGATGATCAAATGTATTTACTTGCCACCTCTTGGCTCTGCGATGTTGTGTAAGTTCTCGTGAGAGTTCAACTTTGGTTCACAGAGAGAGCGCTGAGTCTGAAATTACTTGCAGTGAGCTTACAGCTCGGTCTGTGTTAGCTTTGTGAGATCTGAGGCTGTCACGGTGGTGACTATGAAAAGTACTGTCGTCTGGGATGTGACGCCGTGTAGTCTCATAGAAATATACTGACGTTTCGGAGGAACGTACTGCTGCCATCGTCGCAGTAAAAAGATAAAGGCGAAGTTCTTCTTGTGCTTAATTAAACATCACGTGGCTGCTGTAGACTCACATATTGCTAACCTTGGCACAAATGGCCAGCTTCACGCCTAGGTTGCTCTGCCCCCAGAAAAATAACTGAATTTAGCCATTGGTGAGGAGGCTTAGTTTGTGATGTGAAACTCTAAACTCTCCACAAAATTATGTATGAGTCTTACAGTTTCGGTATTTCTCCTTAGATAGTTGCATTACGGGAGAATTGTTTGAACTAACTGTGGGACACGTGTCTCATTTCTTGGAGAATTTGCAGTGTCAGTCACACGAAATTGGGCTGGGTTTGCCCTGTAGGCACCTGTGTTACTAAGGCTGGAAACCTGAATTCTAAACTTGTTTCTGTGTACTGAATATTTAATGAAATAATGGCATATAAGGTAATCTCCTTTCTGACTAGAATGTGATTAACTTAGTTTCGTGCAGGAGTGAACGGACATCAAGACCGGCCGGGGGGGTGGGTGCACACCCATAGGCCTTAGATTGCACATTTGCATTTTTTTTTTGGTCTAGATTATCCGGAAATTTTAACTTTGAACTAAAATAAAACTTGAAATATACAATTATACTGACGTGTGACATCATGTAGTATGGTAGAATTCATAATTACCGCCGTGAGTACCTCAAATCCCACAAGTGAAACGTGTGACTACAGCATGCAAGTGCACTACGAATGAATGAATGAATGAATGAATGTATAAGAGGTGGGCCTTCTCGGCCCTTGCACCGCGACCTACACTGGTCTATTGTGCTTCAGTGCGCTACGAAAGCCAAAAGGGGCTTTAAATATATTAATATGATAGGGACGGTTTCTGTCTTAATTAATTAATCTCTTAACATGTTGTTTGATTGTGACCACCCACCCAGAAACACCAATATGATTGCAGGCCTAGGTAAAAGCAAACAATCGAACGAATTCGAATACCTGTGTGTTAATGTACTACATCTGCTGACCAGTAAATTAACTACTTTGATCCGCTGACTTTTCACATTCGCGGAAGTGACCTTGGTGTGAGAACGGTCGCACGATCCACACTCGTCGAAGTACGCGATGTGTTAAGGACTGAAAAATTATTTTTAAGTTTTCTTTAGTTCTGTTGCTTTAGGTTTCCATGGCGACAAAGGAACTGCTGAGTCCTGAGTCCGTTTCCTTCACGTCGTCAAGACAACTGACAGAGCCACAAAGTAACAATATACTGTAACAACAACTGAAAAACGAGACATATGTCTAGATCCAGTTGCGATTGTAACGTGCAGATAAGTTAATGGTACTTAACTAAGGAGCTGCATGGTCTGCATACTGCTGATATTTCCTGTTTTTTCTGTTTTATTTATACGAGTACTTCGAACCGTAACTTTGTTGCAACAATCCTTCAACTCCGTAAGACCCTCCCCCCCTCGTGGTTATAACAGCCCCATGTTAGTAGTTGGCGTGTGTGTCTGTGGGCAGAAAGTTCTTTATAAAAAACGGTTTAGTAATCAGTGTTGTCCAAAGTGTTGAGTAACGTGCCGCAAAACACGAAATACCGCTGTGTTACCAGTTGAGAAGTAAGTAATGTCCCCTACCTCCAGCGAAAGAAAGTAGTAACAGTTGAATTCCAGTTAAAAATTCAACTTGAAAATTTGACTTTTACCATCTGTTTTTACGGATTCTACAGAGAATCACGTATATACATTATAGCCCTTGAGGGACACTTTGGAATCGCGATTTCACCTGTAGGCACCTTTTCCGGAGTCAGGGTAGCTCAGTCAGTATAATAATGGAGTACGAACTGGAGGGTTCGGCTACGATTCCCGGCAGGTTAAGATTTTTCTCTTCTCCGCAACGTCCAGACCGGCTCTGGGGCCCACAACAGCCTCATATACAATGGGTACCGTGGGTGATTTCCCCTTGGATAAAGCGGCCGGTGCGTGAAGGTGACCACTTACCTCCATCTTGTGCCAAGGTCGATAATGGTGAAGCTATACCCGCACTCCCCCATACGTCTTCGTGGAATATTGCCTAATTAATTAAGCACAAGGATCGAAACTGTAATACCGACTGAAACACCACCGTTTATTGCTGCTATCATCTGGTTCTGATAACTAAATGAGAATAGCTCTGTATTTTGTTTCCAAGGAAACGACACATGAGCAAAGAGGCAAACAATATATAAATTAAAAAAAAAAAAAACTCAAAATTTTCTCGAGGCACCGGAAGTCACGACAGTGGTCGATAATCCTGCGTCTTATGCGAAAGGTCTTCTGCTCGCATCCAGTCAGGAGACTGAATCTCCTAAGAAGATGATAGTAGTTTTCCTAATTTTTTCCATGAGAATGAACCGAATATCTCTGTCGAATGATTGGCACTCCTGTTTCGTATTTTTAGGTACCAGTTTCAGATATCGACTATCGTGAATTTTGTTCGTGAGTTTCATGAGCCCCTCTCAGCACATTCGGGAACAATATCATAAAGTAGGCCACGATCCTATCCTTTCGCATCTTTTCTGATTAATTGTTCACTGATAATTCTACAGTTCGACGCTACATACTCGTAGCTGTAGCCACTGACAGCGTTCCTAAATGAATCTTTAAGGAAATACATTTTTTTCTTTCCTTGACACTACAGCCCCAGTGGGCCTAGGCCTACCTCCATGAACTTCTCCGTTCACTTCGGTTTTTCTAGATCTTAGACATACGGTAGGACTCCTTGGGCGGGTGATCAGCTCGTCACAAGGCCTCTACCTGTACACAAACACAGAAAAACGCACACAAACATCCATGCCCTGAGTGGGATTCGAACCCACGATCCCGGCTTCCGAGCGAGCAAAGACAGTGCACGCCTTAGACCGCTCGGCTACCGTGATCTTTAAGGAAATACATACTGGAAGGCTATTATGTGGCGCGTGGACATTACTTTGGATACCCCTGTTATTCATGATCAGAACTTAGCCCGGATATGGAGGGAAAATCTCAGTTTCATTTTTTAAACTCTTTATTATTATTACTGTTATTATTATTTTCTTCGTGGCTTCATGTTCGTGTCAGGGACCGAATGGATGTCCCTGAGGACAACGTGTAATATAATTCAGCCGTCATTAATTTCTTTTATACGCAGACTGGCTGAAGGGCAGATTGGAACACCGTATAAGGACGGGAGATAGTTACAAGCGGTTCTACGCCAATCCGTTTCAATAGACGGCCACAAACGATAACAGACAGCATTGAGGGCCCATTCACTAATATTCTTCTTCTTCTTAGTGTTAACTCAATGTCTGTGATATTAAAATACATTCTGAATTGCATCACAGTAAATTGTTAGAATAGGGTGTTCATGAAAACGTTGCCTTTTTTTTTTTTGTTTACTTAGTTCTTTTGGTAAGAAACCTTACAGGAACATAGGCCTATTCGATAATAATCTTATATTGATATTGTCAGACATGCGCAGTAGCGTGCTATTGTCCACTGTCTTCTTTTTGGTAGGTGGCGAGACAGTCTGTAATTACAGAACTGAAATGTGTTCCTTCCCCTTACAGACGCGATACATTCCTCTAAAGCTTTCTCTCCAATCCATTTGCGTGTATGTAAGTACGTGTACTGGCATTTTTAGTCTGTATCTCGTAGAATTAACCCACGGGCCATATTGGAAAATTAGTCGGGATAGCTTAGTGAAGTGATTGGCTAAGTGCTAGACAGCCGTAGTTCGATTCCTGGCAGTTGCAGCGATTCTCTTATGTTCGCCACCACGTCAATACCCACCTGAATAGCATCAGATGATGATTATCTGGAATGAAGCTGACGGCTTGACTCTATCTGGTACCTAAATTAAGAAATTTAATTTTTAATTCACTGGCCCTACAGCCCCCTTGGCCCCTGGCCTCTGATTTTCAGTTTCATGATTATTTTTACAGACGGTAGGACTCCTTGGATGAGTGATCAGCTTGTTGCAAGGCCTCTACCTAAACACAGGCCAACACAAACACAGAATAAACACGCACACACCAAACATCCATGCTTTGTGTGGGATTCGAACCCACTATCCCGGCTTCCGTGCGAGCGAAGACAGTACATGCCTTAGACCGCTCGGCTACCGTGACCTGCAAAATTAAGAATTTGTTAACATCTCATGTAAAAAAAAAACGTAAATCTATCCCTGTAACAGGCCGTGAGGTCCATGGGGTTGTGAGACATCGAGGCTTCCACATTTTCTCTAGACAGTCGGCTCACAGATGGCGGTAAGTTGGTCAGCCTTACGCGCCGGCCGCCCTTTAACCCCCAGGAATGTTCCTGGTACTCATTTCTGTTTGAGGCCGAGTCGACTCCAGGGCCATAGTGCGGCTGGAAGGATTAGGTAAATTGAAAAATGCAATGACCTCATCGGGTATCGAATCCGCGACCTTCCAGTTTGTGGCATAGTGCCTCAACCAACTACGCTACCGTATGACCCATGTCCTCTGATAGAGGCTTACAGACATTTCAGAGGAACAGACCACCGCCTTCTTCAGGGTTGACCTTGAAATGGAAGGAACATGTTCCTCCGAGATTGTGATATCTCCCTGCAACCAAAGAGACCACCCTCGAATGAGGCTGCAATGGCGAGTGACACGTGACCGTGAAGAGTTACAGGACGATTTTGAATTGGAGAGAATTACGGTGTACCTCGCCAGCGTGGCCACCCGCGCGACATGTGTACAGTCTCGTAGCCCAGAAGAGCACAGTACGTATTTGTTTTCACTCCTCTGAAAACTTCACTCGCAGTTGTCAGTGAAGCAAACCCTTGATACTTAGGGATAGGAACTGTGCGGTAGTCCTAGCCATACTGCAGGCAGTTAGACACTGGTTTCTCACTATGGAGACACGGGTTCAGTCCCGCGCGACGTCATGCAAGTTTCCTGTTGGCGAAGTGGCATCGGAACAGAATCCTCCCCCACCCCCA